TGACCCGTCCTGGTTCACAAACGAGGCGGTGGTGTTATCACACATGAATGACAATTAGTGCAAATCAGGCAAACAAGTTTTTATGTATTCTACCATTTCTATCAGTACTTCACTGTACAAATGCAGACCTAAACAACTCAGTAACTACCGAAACATTATTTTTGGTAACATTTACATTTGTCCTTCTTGCCTCACTGATCATTTCAACAAGTTCACAGATCTTTTCTCCGCCGCTTTACTAAATTACGTAGACGCCTCCCTCTGCATCGTGTGTGGTGACTTCAATAGGTTTAATGTCACGTTTTTGACAACCCTTGGATTACAAAACGTTGTTAACTTTCCGACTAGACTCGAGGCNTATTGCATTAACGACCTGAATTTATTTAACTTGCACTGTCGTTCCCCTATTGGCACCTCTGATCATGCAACACTGAAATTATCTCCCACGATCTAATCAATCTAATCATCAGTTTTACATCGTGATCGTCGTCTTCGTCGGCGTTAATGCCAACCCGAAAATCTTGCTAAACTAAGAGATATATTAGATCAAACAGACTTCTCTTTATTTGTACATAATGACCCCTCTATATTTTGTGATACCCTGACTGAATACTTGAAGTTCTGTTATGATACCCGTGGAAAACTTTATACATACGGCCAGACCGTTTTTCGTCCCCCACACTTAAACGATTGCGTCAGAAGAAATAACAAGCTTTCAAAGCGAAAAAGTACTCTTTGATGAGAGACCACTCGAAAGCAATCAAAGCTGAACTGCGGAGAGTAAATGCCGCTCATGTACATGCACTGCTGGCAAAAAGAAATCGTTGGGATATATGGAAAATGATGTTTGAGTTCTGCGGTCTCAAAACGAAGGGAAATCTTCCAGCTGCCAATGTGGACTATATCAATCGCCAACTCAGCAATGCTGAAACCGACGCCCCTATTCCATTCACAGCAGTTGCCCCCGCTCCTAATGTTGTTAATTTAACTACTGATCAAACTGAAGTATTCAAAACCTTCATCAACCTGAAGTCTAATAAAGCATGCGGTCCTGATGGACTGCCATCTGTTGTGCTCAAAGAATGTGCAACCTCCCTTTCCCCTGTTTTCGCCAACTTACTCAACCTGTGTTTTACTAAACATTGCATTTCGGACTGTCTACTGCATTTCCAGGTCAACCATTGATGCGTTGGCATCCTTCATTCAATACCTCTTCCTCCTTGGACAGGAAATGTAAAACTGTTCGTGTATGTTTCTTTGATTATAGTGATGTCTTTAATTGTGTTGATAGGTCCAAACTTCTTCACACTCTTTCTGAGAAAGGCATTCAGCCGGAGCTTACCAATCTGTTAAGTAATTATTTCACCAATCGATCAAAGTTTACGAAATACAAGGGTCGTGACTCTTCACTTTTACCCTCCACTCAAGGAGTTCTTCAAGGCGCTATTCTCTCCCTTCTTGTTCACAACCTATACTTCTTCAATGCCTGCTTTTGATGATTGTCTGCTCATTAAGTATGCCGATGATGTTGTACATAGCATGATGTTTGCGAATTCCTCCGTATACCCCAAACTTATGCAGAATATTTTACTGCTCACCGACTGGTCTTCACAACACAATCTTAGAATGAATCCTTCCAAGTGTAATGATGTTTTATTTTCTTTACTGGAGGGTGATCAATATATTGACGTGATGAACTCTTGTCAGCATGTCATTATCAATGGTGAAGAAGTTTCCAGAGCATGCTCCGTCAAATATCTTGGGGTCACCATTTCCCGCAATCTTTCTTGGTCTCCTCATGTCGTTGAAACATTTCACAAAGTCAGAAAACTCACCTTTTACAT